ATGATTAAAAAATATATTAAAATAAATCTCTTCAAATCATATTGATATCAGTAGTAGAAATAACAGCTTTACAAACAGACAAGCAAAATTTGTACTGTAATTATATTATTGAAGATATTTTTGTTATAACAACAACAAATGAGAGAATAAAAGATACACTCATAGTATCTTGTAATAAGACATTATGACTGAGTGGGTTGAAACACTTATTAGCTACTGTTTCTCTGACACTACTGACACATACACACACACACACATACACATACACACACACACACACATGCTTGATTTTCATTATTAATTACTGACCCATAATGCACAAACAACATAACAAATTTGTATGTACTTAATAAACTACTTAAAAAATAACTAATTTAAGATTTGAAGTTATTAAACTGGTTAATTTATGACTATTATTTAATCTAATCAAACTGCAGTTCCAAATTCTAATCCTAATATTATTTTATGCATCGTATGAAGAATATTAATTCTTCAACATATCTTCTTTGAAACAAAGACACAGTGACACGTATCTAATTGGGTGTCAATTGAGTTCACATTACATTAATGAAAATACCTTGAACAATGGATATCGCACGAGCGCATGATATATGCAAGCTCAATCATATATAAAGATTATGCCTAATTTTATTATGATAATCTTATTTACATACTTATATATTATTATTATCAGTTATTAGAGAGATTTTGTTTATCGCTACCTATTTATCATGTTATTATTTTTTATATTTATTCACAAACATTTGAATATCTTTGTGTTGTAATGTACTCATATTGGTAGGTTATTTTTAGTTACAGTGAAGGTATTTGTTATCAGATGATAATGATTCATCACTTGACATCAGATCACGTGTCAGTTTATTCAAGAGTAATAACTGTCAGGCAGATTTATTAACCTAGATTACAGTTAATACATTTAATCGGTTTCCAAATCACTTCTTAGTCTATAACTTGTACATAGCTCTGATGGAATTGGTGAATTCATTCATATCTGTATTTAATTGTGATATTATATCATTAATATGAAAGATTTAAATATTAATTAGATTTTTTTTGATATCGTATTTGTAATTCTTTTTTCTATATTTAATTTCTATTATAAAACAATAGGTAATTTTGCGGTAAACTAATTTATTTCATGCTATTTTATATGTCACAAACATTTATTTATTAGAAAAGAATTATTATGTAGAATGATACAATAATTTGTCGACTGTTTGTTTAAATGTAGACACAAGTTATTGTAGCGTTAAGTTTTAATCAAGTAGGGTTTTATCAGCCCGTATCAGAGAAACCTTGAACCTAGCCTGCCAAGTGGAACGATAGCTTTCCCGAAATACAATTTATAAGACCAAATACATTTTGAACTGATACAACTATTTTGAAATTATATACTATTGTAAATTTATTAATATTCTTTCAGTTGTGCCGTTATTGGAAATTACAATTTGAGTTTGAATGAATTTAATCAAATAATTATTTTAAAATACTTTAATAGAATATATTTAAACCTAATACTTTTACGCATAATTGCTGAAAAATTTTGTTAATATCTTGCAAAATAGATAATGAAATGAATAATATAGTTAAGTTTTTCTGATTACTCTTTAGGAAATAATAATAAAACTGCTTCGGAAGAACATAAAGTTGATATATTATGTATGAGTACTGATATGTGTATTTAAATAAAAAGATACATATTTTTTCTACTGAGTTATAATACAAAAAATATTCAATTACTTATACCCAAGTTAAAATTGCAGTTACACTGTTATCATCAAACAAATTCTTTAAATTTTGAATTTCTTTGAAAAATTCCATCCATGAACAATATTATACTTTTGTTAAAATATCAATTATTTGTATTAGAACGTCCAAAATTATTTCTTCTTCACATATTTCTAACAAAAACTAGTGACCTCAAAAACTATTTACGGTCAACACCTACAAGTTTAAGATAACAACAAAAAAAATCAACAAAGCAAACGCTAACACGACCCAGCGGGGTTCCTTGGCTCGTAAATTGCCCCTCGCGGGATCGAACCCGCACCTACACCTGCTCTTACCGCGAAATCAAAAAACTAAAATCAAAAATTTTTCTGTATTATTAATTGGTTAAAATATATTATTTTAAGACTTAAATTAATAGTTTTGTGTTAGGTTTTAGTCAAACGACAAGTTCATGTGGTTAAAACTTTGGAGATATCTGAAATTTTACTTGTATTCAAAGATTTTTAAAAGTATTGTCTATAGCAATACATATTTCAATTTTACTACCATTTTAAATAAACTGACCTAAATATATTTGTAATGTAAACCAAATATCTATAATAATAATTTACATAAAATTCTACATAAACAATTTCTATAGAAAAGTATATAGTATTTTTTTACGGACTTCATAGTATAAGCAGTTAGATATAAAAAAAATAATAAAAAATATATATTAATAAAGATTTACAAGAACAATGAAACTATCACGATTTAATATTCGCAAAATGAAACATTGATTTTAACAAAAAATGCAAATAGACTGTAGAGTATTGTTAGACGTCAAACAGATTTGTTCTAACAACGGAATCGTGTTAACCCATTAGTATATTAGTGTACCATTATTTATAAATTTCATATACAGTTAATAAAATAACATGTAAAAGTATTTTTTTTCAATAATTCCAACGCTTCTCGTTGTCCGCTCCATTAAACGCGTGGCATGTTACGTGTCCTACACGTATAGCTTTTTTTTGCGTTCTCCTAAATATATTATGTTATACGACGACAAGTGAAATCATTCAGACATATACTGTCCGTAAATGGACATGCTATTGAGAAGCAAGCCTTTAAGAAAAGGTATAGCATAGAAGGTATAACTCCTTAAAGAATTCTTAAAAAGCCTGACATACTGACTATGTTAAACAATGATAATATATACTAAATGTACAGTAATATTATTTCAATTATATTGTATAATACAACATAATAAATATTATAAAGAAATTCATACATTTAATTCATTATACTTCAAGTTAAACGGAATGGTATGATGTTTAACATTGCACAACTCTCTTAAGAAAACTAACACGGCAATAAAAAACTATAATTTGTAAATAAAATACTATAATTGGTGATAAAGGTCATTTTTAAGGTCTATAAATCAAAGTCTTGCTCCGCGGGGATCCGGGAGATTAATAGCGTCCGAACGATTTGTACCGTACTCTCTGATACAATATTATTGTTTTTAAATATCAATTCGACTTATTCCGTTTATTAATACATCTAACTGTTACATTTGGATTAAAAAAATGTATGAACTGTAACTTATATTAAGTTTTTATACTGGATTAAGCAAATAAACTGTAAGTCATGCGTGTCAGACGGTTTAAAAGATTTAAACGCGTTCCCAGTGCATTCATACGACGAGTGTAATGATAAATTACTACATAATAAAAATGTGAAGCAGATATTAAATATATAAGTTTTACAATTATGAAAAATATTTCCGTTACAAATAACTTTCCTGCCAATTAAAAAGCCCGCCTCAAATATAAGTTACTTCTAGTATTGATGAAACCCGCTTATATAAGCCTACTATACAGGTTGTGTTACTTGTCTCGGCTTGTCTGTTACTAATCAGATTAGCGAGATTAAATATATATAAAAATATACACACTATATAATATGTATAAGGTTTTTTATAATTTTTTTACAAAAACATCAGGAATTAATAATACTACCATGTAAAATATTTACTCTGGTTTATTTAAATACTTAGATAATAATATAAAACATTTTAAAACTAATTATTCATTATTTACCTACTAGAGGCTTGCACTACCACTGCCATCTGTTATTACCTAATATATTATACATTTATATACATATCAACTTGTCAACTTCGTTGAGAATAACGAATTAATTACATTTACAATAGTTTGGTTCGAATCGGGCGAGCACCTCTCACTTCGCGTACATCTATCGTGTGTCGTTTAATAGAACTGTTACAGATACATGCCACGGTAGGTACAGCACCGTATCCTAAACACAATGCCTGGAGATTAGCTCGTAAAGTATAACTAATTGTCTCTAGTATGCCCCTAACAAACATGCACCCAAAACCGGGACATTCTCAATAAAAGTCATAATCATATGTCAGTTTCTATAAAGAACTTTTTAATATATCATCATATATACGTTGTAATAACATTATTTTATATTAAAAAAAATACCTATTTATACAAAAAAAAACTAAGTACCGAACTTGGCCACAATTACATAAACGAAAAACAACAAAACAATTAATTGAAAACAGGAATAAAACCATTTTGGCATCGTATGTGCTTAATTTCCAATAAATTACGGGAGCTAGGGTCTAGCGGGGCGGCGACACGGGACAGAGATCCGTCCCGTCACGCCTCGCCACTACGCTTCATCAGTACTTAAAACATAAATTGCACCTATTGACTCAATCGTATTCCCTCACTTAACGAAGCTACGACCCGATTCGTTTCCTTCACTTTCGACATCATCACTAATCAATAATTTACAGTAGCAACGGTTTTAAATTTAATCCACACCACGACGACTCGCCTACGAACAGGTAGGCATGTATGAACATCGTTAATTTATATAATATCTATAAATAAATTCGATGAAATCGTCTTTTGTAAGTAGCGTGTGGCGGTCCTCGCCGGTATCGTGTCGCACTCGTCACGTTCGCGTCACGCGTACTTACCACCGACGGCGAGGCGGCGAGCTTGGTCGCGACCATCGTCTACTCGCGAACTCTGTTTGGTCACACACTACGATGTCACTGGGCCCGCGACCGCGCGGCAAAATTAATAGAAATGAAAGAACTGAATCAGCTTCCGCGAACTATTTACATGCGACGGTCGGTCGGCGGGCTTCCTATGTACAGGTCCCGCGGGCGGCTAGTGCGGCTCCGCGTAGTAAGGCCGCGGCGGCGCCCACGGGGCGAACTGTTAGTGTGCGGCCAGGGTGTGCGCGCTCTGGAGGCCGTGCTGCGGGTGCTGCGAGTGCGGCGCGTGCGGGGCGTGCTGGCCGTGCTGCGCGTGCGGCGACAGCGCCGGCGAGTGAGCGTGCAGCGGCGGCGAGCCGTGCACGTCGTGCCCGTAGTGCCCGTGACCCATCCCGTCCAACATCTCACCGCCTAACGTGTTCGGCGGCGTCATCCTCTTTTCCTTCTGCCGACGATTACAAAACCATACTCTGACCACCTCCTTCTCTAGTTGTAAACTATCCGCCAGACTCGTGATCTCTTGGGCGGAGGGTTTCGGCTGCTTGTGGAAGTGTTGTTCTAGCGCACCCTTCACTGACACTTCGATGGATGTTCGCTTCTTTCTCTTGCGACCCTGGGCGGCTATTTTATCGATACTGGTCGGACTACCCGTCGTCGAGTCGGCTTCCTCTAGCCATTTTTGCAAAAGTGGTTTCAATTTACACATGTTTTTGAAACTGAGCTGTAGAGCCTCAAATCGGCATATCGTCGTTTGAGAGAACACATTGCCATAAAGGGTTCCTAATGCGAGACCTACGTCGGCCTGCGTGAAGCCGAGTTTGATGCGGCGTTGCTTGAATTGTTTGGCAAACGCTTCTAGGTCGTCACTGGTCGGTGTGTCCTCTTCTGGCTGGTCGCGTTCGAGCGCGTGATGATGATGCATGGGATGCGGCGAGGGCTGCACGTCCCGCAGCATGTGGTGCTGGTGCATGGGCACCGGGTAGGGCGAGACGGCCCCGTAATGTGCCGATACAACCGGTGCGTGCCAACCATGGCCTTGCAGGTGACGGTGATCGTGTGGAGCGGCCGGTGGCTTCACGTCAGGTTGATGCACATGAGTGTGGTGCTGATGCATGGACCAGGGGTCGCCGGGCGGCAGCGAGGCCCACGGGTTGAGACCCACGGGCGCGCCCGGAGACGGGGACCCGCTAGCGTGCAGGTGGTGCTGGTACTTCATGTCAGCCGGCTCAGCGCTGCGCGGCGACGCAGCGTGATAGCCGCTGATGCTGCCGAGATCCAGCTCTCCCGGCATATACGTGGTCGCCGCCATGGCGCCGTACCTTAGATCCACGGTGGACGGCGTCTTGCCGGTTCGAAGGCTGTTGAGCCTTCACCTGGCGCACTCTTTCGCGAAACAGGCGCGTCAATCGCGCAACACTCGGTAGCGGCGGGGGCCACCTCACATCACTTGATTCAAAAACGAGCGACATGCGCGTGCGTGCGCGGCGGCAGCACGGAGCGGACTGGGCTCGAGGCGGTGTCGGTGCTCGGCGCGCCGGCGCTGAGAGGGGCGGCCCCGCCCAGCGCCGCCCGCTAATGACGCCGTAATAGCGCGCCGCCCGCCCGGACCCCCCACCCCGCGCCCTCACCCCCCCGTCCCCCTCGCTCCAGCCCCGCTCGCTCTCGCTACACTATCAGCCGCCGAGCCGTCGCTACTCTACATCGCTACACCGCTCTATCATTCGCACCTTATTATTTACAAACACAATCACTCTACTTTTTTCAACTCTTGCGAGTGAGTGATACTAATAGCGTGGATATTTGATGCGCCAGGTCTTAAAACTTATTGAAATCTAAACCTTGTTATTACTTTTTTTATAAATATAATATTTATGACTTCGAAAGAAACCATTACAATTGTTAATAAAAAATTATATATATGTTAATAAATCTCAATTAATTTACTATACCTTACATTCAGTCCATTAAAATATATCACTAGAGTCATCACTATACAAAAAAATATAAATACTAAATATAACACATAAATAATTTTTTTTTTCTTACAAAAAATTTTACGGAGTTACAGACTTGACAAGTTTATAAAGTTAAAAATTAATACTGTTTCATTTTTATAAATAAAACATACAACTATGAGGTAGAGTTTTATATTAATTAATTTACATGTTAAAATTTCTTTTCATTTTCTGAATCATTAAATAATGAGTCCTCTAAAACACAATTTCACTTAAAAGAAAATGTTAAATAAATGTTAATATCCACCACGATTTATTTATGATCATCATATTTTAGTAAAACATCACTATGCTTACTCGACAAAAAATTTGCTTAAACTTGTATGATCGATTTTTTAAGTTATACAAATTGCTCTAAACTAATAAGAAATACATGTAAACTAAAAATCTTTTGAAATTTACGTTTATTGAAAAATATATTTTTTAATTATTTTTGTTTATTTCAGTTATTGCATATTATGAATCCTTAATTTTTGCGTTTGCTGGGCCTTTAGTCTAATTTGTGATTCGAACGAAATAAATGCGTTGAAATGATATTGCTAGCGCCATCTCTCGGGCAGTAGAAACACTTGTTTTAATTTTAGAAGTTATATTTTTAAAATTATTATAAACAATATGTAAAATTAATCACCTTCAACGACCTTTTATAAGGCAGTACTTTTGAAAAAATATATAAAATTAAGGAATTTAGTAAGATTTATGATCATTACATGAAATGTTATTCTTTTGAATTTTATGGAATGTTATATTAATATCCAATATACTCACAAAAATAATAAAAATACTCACATTTTAATAATAAAAATACTCCCAGTAGTAAATTTAAATTAGTTATGTTTGTAGTCTAAATAAATAAATTTCACGCCATCTACCGTCGCATAGCAAAAGATATTTAGGTAATGGATGAGCTCAAAATTTAAAATTCCTTATTAATTCCTATTTCTTGGTCAAATTTTGGCTTATAACCTTTTTAATATAAAAATGAAGAAACTGTATACATTTTTTAGTAATGTTGTTATCTACACCATTCAATACAGTAAGACAAATGAAAATAATTCTAAGTATGTATTTCAAAATCCCTTCTTTTCTTTCATTGCATATTTTCAATAATATATAGTATATAATGAGTATGTAATTAATTCATTTAATCAAAAAATAATATAATATATAGGTTAAAATTTAAATCAGTTAACAATTGTTTGCGATAAATTTACATGTAATTTGGAATTATTAATTTAAAATGACACAAATTAAGATATTAACCTTAAATTATTAAAATAATTTAAGTTTTTGAGGTCAATGACTTTTATCATATTTTTAAAATTTTGAATGACAATTTGTACAGTTGGCTCAATTTCATAAAACTGTGAAGGGCGCTTGTAATATTTTATATGGAACTGAATCATTTTAATACGTATAATATTTTATTTTCATAATATGTAGCATACTTTTTTTAATTCATTTTCATAAATCATCCTTCTTTTGAACTTTCGAATAACATACAAGTTTAACCACAAAAAAGGTTTTTTATATTATATATTAAGGAACTTCGTTCGGATTTTTAAAAATAAAATAACAGTAAGACATTTGACAATTTGACTATGCGATATTAATTAAAATGAACAAATATAAAAGGTAAATAAAGGAATGAAATGATAACCTGCTAACTCCAGTTAAACAACAATTAAAGTACTTACAGAGTAATATCCTTAAAATAGCCTTAGACTAATTGCTAAACCAATATTAATAGTCGAAAACCCATGAGCGATGTTGCCTCGACGACGGACCACCAGAAAGTGCCGATGTTTCTTTTTGCGCACTGCTTCTATTTTGTTTCTTTTCCAAGGAGTTCCTAACTCGGCTTCTATTTTGTTTCTTGACCAAGGAGTTTCCTAACTCGGCCTCTCCTGACTCCTGGTCGTCCTCGGCCACATTCTCTCTGTTTTTCAGTAGTAGCCTCGCCTACTGCGCCACCTTCCCGATCTTCGTCTTCAAGGTTTGGCATAGACGATCCGGCCGAAGCACCTTGTCATCCTGAATTTTGAAATAACATCACCATTACTATCGGAAACATTATTGTTTGCATGAGTGTAGTGTCCAAATGTTTTTCAAATAAACAAAGTAATGTAAGCTAAACGGCATCCAAGACAGATAAAGTGAAAATAAAGAAAAAGGTGTGAAATCGACGGTATCCCAACAATTTCACATCCCCACAGTACATTACCATTGTCGGGTGACTCACGCCTTTGAAGGGCTACCAACACCATAGAAGTGCAGCTCATGCCAATGCGACTCACGCAATCGGCAACTTCCACCACTGGGGGCTCCCGTCAGTGGTGACTCCCGTCAGTGGCGACTCCCGTCAGTGGCGACTCCCGTCAGTGGCGACCAACGCTGATGGCGGCTGATGCAACTGAGGACAAACGTTAAGGGCGACTAACGCCCGTGCGACTAACGCACATGACGACACACGTCAAAGGCGACTAACGCCAAGGCGACAAACGCCAATGCGACTAACGCAACTGACGACACACGTCAAAGGCGACTAACGCCAAGGCGACAAACGCCAATGCGACTAACGCAAACTGACGACACACGTCAAAGGCGACTAACGCCAAGGCGACAAACGCCAGTGGTGATGAGTAGACTTGCGTCTTGAACTCCCACCCGGCAGCAGGTCAATGAGACGCCTGCGGTGTCTCGAACCTCCACCAGCTGCAGGCCAGCGGGATGTCCCCGTCTCGACAAGTGACGTCTCGCGAAACTTGTCACCACTGCTTCTGAGAACAGTCGTTAAAAGAAAATGAGCAAAGTGACAAAACAGTTCAAAAATTTCACCATCGAATACTATAGCACCAATATCTGGGCACCATTCTAAATTCCATGCCATCACACGTTGAGTGGTTGGTTGAGCTGATTTAAGAGCATTACATTACATTGGATTACAATTTTAAACTGGATGCCAACTAGATTGTGGTGGAAATATTTTAAGGCCCTGACCTTATTTCACTATTGTAATTAATCACTATTTCATGTACCGCGATCATACACGAATGCGGGATTACGCGCCCCAATACGAAAAATATGTCGTACTCATAACGAATTTTCTCAGGTTGATATTCTACGTCATAACTCTGCCGCGTTTCACAGCGAGTTGCGGGACGTATTATTGAAAAAAGAATAAACCACCTAGCAGTCCTGTTTTTCATTTACATTGACTGGGAATTTAGTTTAGTTTGTTTTAAGTATTGGATATTCTCTGCACATTCGTCATCGCTCCCTTCACATACTAGATTAGGTTTACACATCGCCTTTCAAATTTATTTATTAGTGAGGTACGTGCCCAAGCATCCTCTCATTTTTACTTAGTTATATTTCTTGGTGAGAAATGTTTGAGGACACAGGTATTTTGTCTTTAATATGCTGTATTGTTGTTTATATTTTTTTGTTATACTCCTGTGATCTGTTTTTTTTTCTCCAATAAACAAAATAAAATAAAAATAAAATTGCAGATGAGTTCATGTAATGATGTAATTGCAGAGCCTCCTCCTTTCTAGCGCTCGGGCTAACCTGACCACCACTTATATGTCTGTCTAAGTTCTCAAATTCGGTATTCAGAAACGAGTATTTTATTTTAATATTGATCGAAAAAAATAGAATTCTACCTTTACCTTTTTAAGCATTAAAATTCAGAAGAAGTACTTTGTTGATATAAACGAGCAAGTCATCAGAATCAATGAATTCCCGAAGCATATCATTAATTGATAATAGGTTTGTAAACAATAGATGAGTTTGTCAAACCATATGGCATCTTTCAGTATTCGTAGTTCCCTCCTGACGCGGACGTAACGAAGCCTGTGTAGTGAATACAGTCCCTGATTCTCATTTCATGAAGTCGCCATATCAGGGCCGGTGACGAAGTTATGTCATCCTAAAAAAAAATTAATTTAATGGTCAATAAATGAAAACGGATATCTTTCCTTCTCTGTATTGCGAATAAGTACTCGAAAATCTTTTTCGTCACTGAAATTATTGAGCTGGCATATTGGGATCGAGATTCCCTAATGATGCCTTTATCTAAGAGATCCTTCATTATTTCGCTAACTTGTACCATCTTCCTGTAAAATAAATTGTATGGGCGACAAGTTATTGGAATTGAACTAGTAAGTTTGATATTCATCTCACCTATACTGTACTGTAGTGGCAGCGGTACACAAGAAAATCCGAGAAAGGCGACAATACAAACATTGGTAATTCCAGATTACTTCCTGGCAGAGGGATTTTATATAAAGAGTTTTCGGTGGCTAGTACTTGATTAACCTGACTGATCCCAGCGAGTGATATACTGTTGTTGTTACTCTTACATACATTACTCCAACACGATTCAAAACATCTGTCGCTATTCCTGCAGGCTGACGGTACTACTACTAGATCTTAAAATGAAATATTGCTGA